TAGTTTGTTTTGTAATGTGCGCAGGGATTAAAGTAAATTGGACAACCGTATTTTTAAGTCGGCAACTAGTTTTTTAGACTGGTTGTCTATGTAGATCAAAGGAAATATATACAAAATACAATATGAATCGTGTTCATTCTTTCTTGTCTGTTGAAGTTGTTAGTATGTGATATTTAATTTTCGTCGGACAGTATGCGGTCGAATCGACCTCTGCTGTGTGTTGGTCGATACTCCAACTGTACTGACTTCGTGCATACTTTGCAGTATCCTCATAATAACCTCATAATATGTGATATTCCCCGAAAGTCCCATCTCTTTTATCCACACTAACTTCAATACATATAAGATGGTTGTTGCTTTCATCTGCAATTACATGAAATTGTTTCCTTTCACATATAATACATCTTGTACAGTGTTTAGTTTTCAAGAGATCATGTTGAAAAAGTTTTCCATGACTGCTCTATTTTTACTATAGATTTTTTGGTCATTTATTGGTATCAAAAAACATGGTTTAAAGTAAATAGCAAAATTTCTCATTAATTTTTGCCTAAATGCCAGAATTAGCAATGCAACAAGAAATAACACTGCAGCCAAAACAGAAGCACAGTTCAGTATACTTATATGTATACAGCTATTTGAACAGGAATCGATAGGACACTGGATATACATACCCACTAGATTTTTTTTTATAATGTGAAATTTTTTCTTAGACCTGAGTGGTCAATGTGAGTTTTGTTTCCATAGTAATAAATACTTATTCCAGCAAAATAACAACATGCTTTACAATTCAATTACATCACGTTTGCCATATTATAACACTATAGGCATTTTGTGCAAATTTTGTTAGGTGTACTGTTTATGATTTCTTGAGTCGCTGGATTGATATCAAGTTCAACTAAGTATCTGGTTATGCAATTATCAACTACATGTATCTAGAAAGCAAAATGAAATTGCTGAAGTATAAATTATTGAGATCTTTGTTGTCTTTCTATAGAACTACCGTAGAAGACAATATGGCATGCACACTGCATAGTTGGTATATGTCTCTGTTGACCAGTGTATGTATGTTGTTATGTTGGTACAGTTTACCTATGTGTTGACGCAGGTAAGTGAATTCAGTGTACTGTAAAATACTTTATTTTCACTTGGAATTAATTTTCGCTGAATATACCTATTTCCATATATTTTACATTCAACTTGTCAAAAATCAGTGAAAATAAATTCTATACAAAACACCCAAAAAGTCTTTTCAGCAAAAATAAATTCCAGTTAAAATTCAGTATTTTACAGTATAATATTTTACTGTTTAAGTCGATTATATATACTGAGCTTGTTTTCGCTTAGGAGGATTTGCCAGAACCTTATTTGGCAATTTGCCATCATCAATCACTGTCATCTCCATGTGTAAATACGATATCATGTGACACATGTATATAACATCATGGGTTTATAAAGTAACAGGATGTAACTTCCATAAACATGTACATTGATGTGCGAGGAAGATGTGAAATACTTGAAAATGATCACATTCTGTGTTTGTCAATCGAACACAGTTCTAACCAATAGCGTCATTGAGTGCTTGGATATATTTGATTATATTATTAAATAGAAATGAACAAGATTTCATTACACGCTTTGCGACTATACTGCCAAACATGGTCATATCACAGACGCTTGCACGTACACCGTCACCTTGTGAATCCTTTATTCATGTATGGAAATTGTCGAAATACTGAATTCTACCGTAATATGGCCCATCTAAAAAACCATGGTGGTGGGTGCTTAATTGGGGTTCAAAATTTCAGTAAAAGATCATCAAATATTTTTTTTGGTACAGTTGTACTTCCAAAACGAAAGAAACTATTGCAGAAACTAATTTTGATACATTTTTTACCTTACCCGTACTATCAAAGATGGAAGGGAAAGGTATATTAAGGGAAAAATTTTGTCCGGCATTGTTGTTGTTGTTGTCGTCGTCGTTAATAATTGTTATTGTGTGCATAATAACTTTTATTTTACTAATTCTATTCCAAACTTTATCAAACTTGGTCACCTTATTCATCAGTATAAAGTCTTCCCTGAGTTTGAACAACAGATGTCCTGTATGAAAATATCATGCAAAAATTGAGAAAATCTGATAAAATATTTTGACTGTTTCTACTTGACTGATCACTGGTGATACACATCAAAGGTCACTAATCTCAGTGGAAATATGCATTGTTGTATGTGTTCAATGAAGCAAATGATTTATCTTGTAATAATATCCTTGGTAATGTATCTCAGAATCCCATACTGGGTTTCAAAACCAACTCATGG